AGATGTTACTGTAGTTCTAAAATAAATATGAATATGCATTAATTCATCTCACTCACACAAAAAAAGCAGATTCAGTATTCCTCAAAATGAATAAAAATCTCAGAATATGACGCAAACCTGCAATAATTAAATGTTAAACAACACAATTATCCTTTATGTATTTAATCCCTTTTTATTAACCAATGTCTTTGCTTCTGACCTTCGATGATCCAGTTCAACCATACTAATAAGCAAAAATTACTCTAGACAAACATTTGTGTGTCTTCTTTTATTGTTGAAGTGTGTTGAAATTTCTTCTTCTGCATTCTACTGTACGGACGTACATTTCCTTTCCCTTCATCCTGAGGCTTATTCATTTCACTTTTGGTGTGAAAAGGCTTTTATATTTGCCAAAAATAGCACTTTTTTTATTTTAAAAACAAACAAGCAAGCCCTGTCCAGATTTTTAAAAAGTAACGCAAAAGTAACGTAACACATTACTTTCCATAAAAAGTAACTAAGTAACATAACTAGTTACTTTTTTATGGAGTAATGCAATATTGTAATGCATTACTTTTAAAAGTAACTTTCCCCAGCACTGTATTATATATAATATATTTAATAGATTATATGAGCATCCGCTTTATTTATCTGATTTAACTTGATCAGCACCCTCTTTGTTTATCAGATTTACTAAGAATGCACAGAATTGATATGTATTTTAAGTATATGATGTATATATGTTATATCATATTATATTGCTCTCTGTGTTTCTCAAAGGGTTTTCAGTGGTACTCTGCTGCATGGTCTTGAGGCTGCCATAAGAGGGGGTCACCAGTGTGAGGCTCTGCTTGCAGGGGACGCTGTTACTTGGCAGCTCTACTCCATCCTGCTAGAGGCATTGACAGGTCCTGCAGTATCAGCAACAGCAAGCAGGGGTCGAGGAGAGGGGCAGAGACAGGCTCAGCAAAGAGGGAGGGGCCAGGGGGGGAGAGGACGGGGCAATGAAGGGAGAGGGAGGTGCAATAGGGGAGGAAAGAGGGGCAACAGTAGCAGAGGAACGACGTCTTCAGACAGTGCTGTGGACAACAGGTTTGCACTGTTGACCTTTGATGACTCTCAGCAGTGGTGGCCTTGAAATGGCAGCAGGAAATGAAAGATTAGATTTGAAAGGTTAGTTCAGGAGAGGAGAATAAAGAATTTCAGAGATAGTTATGTTTTTAACTATGTTCTTATGTGGCCTTTCACTTTATAAAAGCATGATGTGGCTGAGGATGTGCCACTTCTCAGATTAGAGTATCTTTTACCGACTTCATTTCAGGAAACACAAATTGTTTTGTTTACTATGAAAATGTTTTACTATGAGAGCTGTTACGTATGCACTAGGTTAATATGCACTGAATCTATTTTGCAGCTACATCATGAAAATGGTCTGTTTAATGTAGACTTTTATACTATTTAATTGAATGAACTTTTATGAAAAAGAATGTAGAATTCGTATATTATCTTGGGACCAATATTCTGTTGCTCCACTCCCTTTTTATAAAATATTTAATTGTGTGTAGTGTAATTTGCTAATATCATGTTTTTAATAGGATCTGATTCCTCCCCCTAATTAGGTAAAGCTTAAAGGGGTCATATGATGCTTTTTTAACGATCATTATTTTGTGTATTTGGTGTAACAGAATATGTTGACATGCTTTATTGTTCAAAAAAACATTATTTTTCAAATATTGTACATTATTGTAGGTCCTCTATGCCCCGCTTCTCTCAAACGCTTCGTTTTCTACAAAGTCCCTCCTTCCGACAAGCGCAGTCTGCTCTGATTGGCCAGCTGACCCAGTGCATTGTGATTGGCCGAACACCACAAGCACTCGTCGGAAATGTACCATAATCGTAAGCTTCATCTTTCAAAATAAATGTAAAGACAGAGCCTGAAAGGGGAACAGAGTTGCGTGACAGACACAATGATGAAGCTGGTATGTGTTTGCATTACACAAGCCACGGTTAAGACCGCAGACTCCACTGTGATGTCTCTCTCTCTCTCTCTCTCACACACGCGCGCACACACACACACACACACACGATGCGCAAAACTCCGCATTTGAACAGTCAATAGCAAATACTTAAACTAATAACAAAAACATACTTACAGTAGCTGATTCAGAAGCGCCAGATTGTCATAGCAAAGTCAGAATTACCTCCTCTCCTCGGTTCACGAAGCGGTCGTCCATAAAATGCATTGCTGTTCTGTTGTAAGTAATCGTAAAGATTCCTAAATGCATCTACTTCCGGAAGGCCAAATAAAGTGCTTTTGCTTTCGCCTAGAAACACACAGCGTCTCCCTGACATGGCTGCTTCAACACTAACTGCGGTTACTGAAACCACGCCTTCTTTCTTTGCGTGCACATTTGGGCGGCATTATGCTAATATTTCCACATAGTGAGGTAGATATGTGGGGGCGTGTTAGAACGAGCCGTTTTAGGGGGGCGTGGCAGAGTCTTAACTTTGATAAAGAATATCTCTTTGGTTTTGAGACTTTAGTCTTTGCAACTTCAGGGATCTTATCTATGCACAATCAGCTTGTAACACTCCAAAGAGAAAGGAACACTTGAAATCGCATCACATGACCCCTTTAATTATTGTGCCAATGAGACGACAGCCAATATGGTGTAGTCGTGACTGAATACAAAACTTCAGTGATATTCTGTTTCAAAACAGCACATAATCTCTTGGTTCCCTGCTGTTGCTCTCTGGAATTAACTGCAGACTGAAATTAAGTTGCAAATTATCAAGTGCAATTTTACTGGAAAGTGTTGTTGTGCTCTAGTGGATGTCAATCAAGGCACATCCTTACAAGAAACTTGTTTTAAGTTTCATATCTCTTGGCGGAAGTGAGTATTTTAGTGGGTAACTTTTCATATATTGAAAGTATCGCTTATATTTCAAAGTATTTGTTTCTGAAATGTCTAATTGCGCTTAACCATGAAAAGTTCTGTTGATGACTAAACAAGACACAAGTTAATTAGTAACACACATTAACATAAACATAGCAAAACCAAAATACAAGCATAATTTTAATCTCAAGAGGTGTTGAATGCAGAGGCGGACAGTAACTAAGTACATTTACTTGAGTATTGTACTTAAGTACACTTTTTGAGTATCTGTACTTTACTTGAGTATTATTTTTTCTGGGAACTTATGACTTTAACTTCACTACTTTTGAAAAACAAATATTATACTTTTCACTCCACTACATTTCTATCAAGATCCTCGAAGTAGAAAGTCGTAAGCAGCTTTGAAAGTCAGTGGGTGATTTTCTTTCTTCTCTAAAAACTGTATTTTTTCAGACAGTTTATCAGTAATCACTCTTGTAGGGCTACTTGAAGTGATTTCCCAGCATATTTTGAACACTGACTAGTTCCAAATGTGATATTTATTTACAACAATTCAATAATAAGAAATTAATATTGTGGTATATATTAGACACAATATTGTCCGACTTTGCTAAATTGTGTATGTGAAAATATTACCTATAAAGCCACAGAAGAACTGTTGTGCGTCTCCTAATAAAACACAAAAGGTGTTTGACTGAAGCAGCACTGCACAGACCATTCTGTGTGTGATATCAAAGTACCGCAAGAGCGATTAGACAGCATTTTTTACATTTTTGTTTTGATCAAATAAGTCTTGCTGTTTTGCTTTTTTGTTAAAGCAGTGTTGCTGTTGTAAAGTTAATTTACTTTTGGTACTTAAGTACTTTTAAAAGCAAGTACTTCTGTACTTTTACTTAAGTAAAAATCTGTCTTTACAACTTTTACTTGTAATGGAGTAATATTTGACCAGCGGTATCTGTACTTTCACTCAAGTAATGAAGTTGAGTACTTTGTCCGCCTCTGGTTGAATGTAATGACTTCTCTCTTTGTCCTGGCATTTTAAGATAGGCAGTTGAATATGAATTATAATTAATCTTTGTTGTATTAAAAAAAAAAGATTATGTTCAAATGTGTTTGTATAACTTTAAGAAATGTATTTGAAAATCTATTAAATTTGGGCTATATTCAATAACATTTTGTATTTTATTTTTTTGTTTAATTTAGAAAATTCAACTTTACAAGAATTACATTTTAAAATATATTTAAATACAAGTCATTTTTAATTTGATAATATTTCACAATATTCCTGATTTTACAGTATGAACAAATAAATGCAGCCTTGGTGAGCAAAGGGCAAAAGAAACTTTTGGTCTGAAGTGTACATAAAACAAAACATTGTGCTAATAAGTTTCATTAATTTTCTAGACACAATTTTCTTTTAAACAGTCGTTCTTGTCCTGAATTATATCTGTCAGTTTGTTGGCGTGTGGTATTAAGTGTATAGTGGTAGTCCGGGGGTCTAATCTTGGCATGAGGGGCTGGAGAGGGCGGATCAGATGTCAGATCCCTGACTGTAATAGCAGTCGCGCCTGGAGATTCCCACAGACTCCGTGGGAAGCATTCTTACGATTTAATAACACAGCCACACTGACAGACGAGACCGAGACAGCAGAAAATAGGGTGTGTGAGAGAGAGAGCTGCTGGCATTTCAAACTGGATGGGAGAGGACTCGAGCACAGGAGGGCGGGCACCGACTCAGATCTGTGTATTTTTGACACACTCGTACAGGAACATGGCCATGGGCAGGACTGGGATACAGCTGCAGTTTCTGCTGTACTCGGTGTCAGCCTACCTTTCACCGTACAATCTGGAAAATATCCTCCCGATTCCTACAGGTATGAGAGCGCGAGCGCGTGAGGGATTATCAGTTTGTGATAATGAGAGCGTGTGGCTGTGTTGTGTTTGCGTACGTATGCAGCTTTTCATATAAATATACAATTTTAGACATAGACAGACAGGTAAATGTACTGCATATATTAAAAAATATATATAATACAATTTTAATCACATGTTACTTATTACATTATATTATATTACATGTAGATGCATTATAGGGCCCAAACGTTTTACATTCTTTTCTCGGTTTTTAATTATTTTTTTAATTAATAATTTTCAGTTGTAAATTATGTTATCAGCATAACAATTTGAATGAGAACTTGTGCAAAATCTGTAAATGTAAATTAACTTGTTGATAAGTGACCTAGAAACTGCAATTAAATAATAAATATCCTTGTTCATTAAACGTCATAATGTTACCCCACTGTTTATTTTGGACATTAGTACAATACAAACATTGTATATGCATATTGTATGAATGTATCTTTAATATGCAGGTGTGGATTTGGTTGCACATTGGGATTAAAATGACCTGACATATTGTACGCTTGTTATTCCTATATTTACTTTGTCTATGCTGTCAAAATGTATGCTTGGTAATTTATATACAGTTAGTGTAGATCAGCTTGTGATTAATTCATGTTCTATATTTCATCTTAAAGGTGTTGCATGTTTTATCAGGCTTCATATTTCCGAAGTGATATTAAGTCTTGTTCAGATCTTATGTTAAATTCTATAGGCTATGTTGTCATTCATCCGTACGTATCCCTTTTCTATTAGGTGTATTTTTCATATAGTTTTTTAAAGCAGCTAAACAGCAGTGCCAATAAGATTATTGATTATAATTAATGTCTCTCTGTCTCGTCTGGTTGGTTTTGTGGTTTATTCTTTTAGACCGGGATCCAAATGATATCTTGAAAAGATTTGACCCTTGTTGTCTGCTGACCCCGCCTCCCCCTCCTTTGTTCCCGCCCCCTCCTGGTGTCTGGAAAAGAGAGCCTGTGGGTAACATAATATTAGTGTACATAATTCTAACGGCAGGAAATGACAGCTTGTCTTTTAATCCACCATTTATCTGTTGTTGTTGTTTTTTAAGACCTTGCCTAGTCGTGTGGAGGGGACGAGAGTAAGAGAGGAGGATGGGGAGCAGGTGAAGGAACTCTGTGTGGCAGGACCACCAGGACCTCCTGGACCTGTTGGACCACAGGTAAGGCACACAAAGAGTTAACAAAGACCCTCCCCAGACAACTAAGTGAGATGGAGAACAAAATATATTAATTCATAGGTTTTACTTTGTTTTAGGGTCACAGTGGCATCCCAGGGATGGAGGGACCAAAAGGAGATAAGGTAAGATGGGTTAACATCTGGTTTACAAGGAATCAGTTGCTTATGGGTCTGTTCATTTTGAAGTCTTTTATAAAACTGAACTGTTCTTCTTTTCACTTTAGGGTGACATCGGAAGACCAGGGTCAAAGGTCAGATTCTCATCTTTGATCTTCTAAAGTATTTATTCATTATTGTGCACCAAATGCATGCATAACGGTAATGATGGAAAGTCAGGGATGGCTTCCAGACTTCATAGAGCACATGGAGCAGAAATCTTTTTTATACCATTTCTGTCATATAAAATATCTCTGTTTATGTCGAGGCAGGTTGCATTTTGCAGACCATGCTGTTTATGACATGCTCTCTTGGTACATGTAATAGTTTTACAGGGTATCAGGCCATGTGCTGTTTCATTGGCTGCAGTGCACTGCAGTTCTGCCCTGTAATATTACTTAGTGCTTAACTCAGACATTAATCTCAGCCCTGCACTGCTGCTCTCAGTCAAAAAACACACACACACAGCTATTTAAATGCACTGAACTCTTACGCTCCTCAAGCAAAAAGAGGGAAGGAGATTGAAGCACAGGACGTTTTATGGGGGACTGCAAAAATAATTTTCTAAATCAGATTTTTTGTTCTGATTTCCATTAAAAATATAAAAAACATTTACCTGAGAACCACAGCTGCATAAAATGAAACACTTTGTTATCAGAGAAAATATCTCTATCAGAGAAAAATCTTTTTGGATTAAATACATTTTCATTTTATTTTTGTTTATTGTTGGCATTTTTTTGTTAGGGAAATGTGTAAAGAAAATACAATTAATTCAAATTGGGCTCAATAAGATTTTTTTAATGTTTTTGAAATTAGTCTCTTAAGCTCACTAGTATTATAATATTAATAGCCAATATTATCTTGCAATAAATATAGCTCTTCAGTAAACATAATGCAGGTTCTGCCGTTTTATGAGTTGTTACTTATTTGTACACTGATTTTATATATATATATATATTTAAGAATGCTTAGATGTTGTTGTTAGAAAACAAGGCCAGAAATAAAGTTATTTTAAAGTACAGATACAGTAGGGACTAGAAATAGATTCTAGTGTTAAAAGCAAAAGAAGGAGAGTGTTTGAGTAAAGAACCTGGAACACACTCAAAAAGAAGCAGAAGGATTAGATAGGCGGATGTATTAAAGGAATGAAGAGGACTGCTGAGAGGCAGGGATGCTGAGTAGGTGCTTTGTCTTTGATTAAAGCTGCTCTGTACACTCAGCACTTCAGCTGCACTGCCAGATCTGGCTGGGTTGTGTTTGAGTTGGGTGTATAAAAGCAAAATAGCACACAAATATTTCTTCTCTTTGTTTTTGTAGGGTCGTACTGGGCGTCCGGGTCTGCCTGGGAAACCAGGTTCTTTAGGGCTGCCCGGCCCAGAGGGACCTAAGGTGGGTGAGTTTTACCTCTGCACACCATCTGACCCATGTACACTCTTAAAAATAAAGGTGCTTCAAAAGGTTCTTCAAGCGATGCCATAGAAGAACTATTTTTGGTTCCACAAAGAACCATTCAGTCAAAGGTTCTTTAAAGAACCTTTGACTGAATGGTTCTTTGTGGAACCAAAAATAGTTCTTCTATGGCATCGCTTGAAGAACCTTTTGAAGCACCTTTATTTTTAAGAGTGTAGTCTCGCCACATACTGCACTAACATAGTTAAAGGGATAGTTCACCCAAAAATGAAATTCTGTCATAATTACTCACCCTCATGTCGTTCCAAACCCGTAAGACCTTCATTTTTCTTCAGAACACAAGTTAAGATATTTGGATGAAATCCGAGATCTTTCTGTCTCTGCATAGACAGCAATGTCATTACTACATTCAAGGCTCAGAAAAGTAGTAAGGACATCATTAATATTTATTTTACTTAATGACAGAATTTTCATTTTTGGGTGAACTATCCCTTTAAGCTGACAAAACATCTGTTATCACGGTATCAAGTGTCTGGTCTTCATCACTATTGTTCCTATATCAAAGTAAACGCCAAGTCTGAGATCAAGTGTCCCCCTTCACTGATGCCTCTTCCATCAAGAGAAATGGACCCAAATGGATCTAGAAATAGCTCATTAGAGCCTATTTGACTGTTTATATATGACCTCATTGGCAGGGAGAGAAAGGAGACCCAGGGCTGATGGGAATGCCAGGAATGAGGGGATCACCTGGACCTAAAGTGAGTCACGTTCTCCAGGTGTAACTGGTGTACAACTGAAGTAATGGAGTCGAAGTAATGTTGTGCCTTGATTTTTATTTCATAAATAACATTTTATGTCTTCTCTTAATGAGAAAAGGTAAATAATACTTGCCTTCTCTGTCCAATTAGGGCTTTCCAGGCAATAAGGGTGAGAAGGTACTGTACGTTTGTTAAAATCAGCCTAAATGTTTCTTTCCCTTTGTAAAGTTATGGGACTGAACTTTATATTACATAACTCTCTGTACATATTGTTATGGTTTCAGGGAGCACGGGGGGATTCTGGACCTGCAGGTCCAAAAGGAGACAAGGTTAGAGACTAAAAATCAGTTTCTAGACATTAGGGTTCCTTATTAATGATGTTTCCTCTAGAAGAAACCGCAACATGCTACAATTCTTGGAACACGCTATCAACCACCTACACAGAAAACCCTAGTAACTCAGTAGCAACATGCTTAAAATGAATGAATTGAATATGTAGAATTGAAATGTATAGGCACTCAATCATATTCACTTGTGTATCTGGTCTGCTCACTTTAGGGAGCAAATGGACTGCCTGGGATGCTGGGACAGAAGGTATGATGTGACATTTTAACCATTAAAATCAATCTCATGCATGTAACGCTAATATGTTTTGGATGTCACTGATCTGACTCGCTCCTTCTCTCTGAACCTCCCCCTTTCGTCACTCCCCCAGGGTGAAATGGGACCCAAGGGTGAGTCTGGCGTCCCAGGGAAGCGTGGCCCTACAGGACGACCAGGCAAGAGAGGCAAACAGGTGAGGACACACAGCATTCTGCTCTACATCAGAGCTCCAGTCTGTGCTGATACTGAGACCTTGAGTCTCTGAGTGATGATAAGGGAGTGGATTATTGGCGGAAGAAGCTGCGGCATATTTAAAACCTGCATACTCACACGGTTAACCTGTCCCGCCCAGTCAGGGGGTCAGTCTGTGGCTGAGTGTGCGTGTGTGTGTGTGTGTGCCATTTCGTAAGTAACCTGATGAGCTGAAAAGCTCACCGTGCTGGTAGCTGGATTTGGACCAGCAGGGCCTCTGATGTTGGGTCCAGCCCTGCCGCTCATGTTTCCAAACTCTTGTATTACACTGCGGATAGGCACTTCCTGGGAATGTCTTAACTAACTGCTGGGAAATAGTAGGACTGTTACCGTAGGCTGTACCCAGCAAAGATTCCTACTATCAATCAGCTCAGCGCTGTGACACATACACATTTAAGGTTCCTTAGATCACTGCACAGGCTTCGGACTTGAATGTCATTTCAGCACCTGCAACTAGTTTGATGCATTGACTTATATATATACTGTATATATACACACAACTGTGTAAAAGTTTGGGGTCAGTAATATTTTTTTAATACTTTCATTCAGCAAAGATGGCTTAAATTGATCAAAAGTGACTTTAAGGACATTTATTATTGTTACAAAATATTTTTATTTCAATTGCCAATTCAAAAAAAATCCTGAATAAAAATATAACAGTTTACACAAAAATTGTAAGCAGCACAACTATTTTATATTAATTACAAGAAATGCTTTTTGAGCACTAAATCAGCATATTATAATGGTTTCTGAAGAATCATGTGACACTGAAGACTGGAGTAATGACTGCTGAAAATTCAGCTTTGCCGTCACAGGAAAAATACTTTTTAAAATATTTAAAATACCTTTATAATAATATTACACAATATTACTATTACTGCAATTTTGATCAAATAAATCCAGCCTTGGTGAGCATGCATACACTTTTAAACGTACTGTATATGTATATAAACTTTATATATGTAAATATTGATGAGGTTTTATTGGTGTAGATGAGTCAATGGATTTACCTCAATTATTTATGGCGTAGGGGCCTGATGGAGACAGAGGTTTTCCAGGGCCAGTGGGTCCCACTGGTCCACCTGGACCCAGGGGCCACCCAGGACCTCCTGGGGTACCTGCATCAGGTGAGATAACATATATGCACACAATTTATTTCTGAATCACCTATTAGGATGTCTGCAGATCCGAAGTAAGGTTTTGAACGTTCTGGTCTTTTAAGCAGAGTTTTTGATAAGTAAATCAGTGCATTTCTGTTCTAGCTTAACAGCGATGTCTAATGAAATCTAAATGCTTTTGTTTGTTGGTATCTAATGATGATCAGGGCTGTTTGTAGTTGGAGAAAAAGGTGAGAAGGGATTGCCCGGTCCTCCTGGAGTCTGCGACTGCAGCTTCCCTTCTCTCAGTCCAGCCAGTGCCCCGTTACAACACCGTAACAAATATGACAAAGTTCCAGCGGTAAGACACACACTCTCTATGCTGAGGACTTCCCATTTACTTCTAATGTGAATGTTACTTCTGTAATGTGAGGTGAAAGATATTCAGTAAGAAACTTGATTTGAACCATTTGCACTACATACCAGAATGAATCACAACTAAATACAAGTTAGCTAAAAGGTAAATGATAATAAATGTAAAATAATTTATTGTAAAATAATAAAGAGACCTTCCCCCATTCCACTGCCTGCTAACATATTATTTAGGCCCTTAATTGAGCTGTTTTCATTGTGCGGATTTTGGGTTTTATTATCATTCTGGGTAACCTGATGTACACACATTGTCCCCACTCAACAAGCCAAATTTGACATAAGACCGAATTTAATTTGTGTGTTTATAATGGAATCAATAAGCCTGTTCGTTCAGTGTTTATATCTGCTTCTTGATCAGTTTGTGTTTCCTGGTCAGATATTCGTTGTGGGCAGTGAGGAAGAGCTAAAAGGTCTCCAGGAAGATAACGCACTTGCCTTCAGGAAGGATCAGAGGTCTCTTTACTTCAGGGATGAAAATGGATGGAAGCCCATTCAGGTACAGGGTCATTTTGAATACACTGCTATGAAACATGCAGCCATACTAGTATTTTGGGAACAGGAGCATGTTATTTATATTTTAGCTGATGCCGCTCCAGGCGACTGAGAGGATGAGGGATGGGAATGGAGTCTGCGGTGATGGAGAGGTGCAGGAACTCAACGGGGAAGAATGCGACGACGGAAACAAGGTTGTTACGGATGACTGCGTTGGTGAGTCACATGATCATAGAGACAACCACATTCTGAATATATGAAAATGCCTAAACATAAAATTAATCAGTGGTAAATTTATCTTATTTTGAGGATTATTTAGATCAATACAGAAAATCAGCACTCACATTTTCTTGGAGTAGTCTGTTGGTCATTCATTAGTCTTATCAATCCTCTTTCTCTCACTCACTCCACCTCTGTCTCTTTCCTGTTCTTTGTCTCTGTCTCTGTGTGTAGGCTGTAAAAAGGCATACTGTGGCGATGGATATCGCAATGAGGGTGTGGAGGAGTGTGACGGGAAAGACTTTGGCTACCAGACCTGCAAATCATATCTGCCCGGGTATGCACACCACACCACAAGCACACACACACACACACACACAGGTTTGTTTTTATGGTTTATGGGGACTCTCCATAGGCGTAATGGTTTTTATACTGTACAAACTGTATTTTCTATTGCCCTACACCAACCCTACCCCTAAACCTACCCCTCACAGGAAACTTTATGCATTTTTAGATTTTCAAAAAAACTCATTCTGAATTATTTATAAGCCTTTTGAATTACGGGGACACTGAAAATGTCCTCATAAATCACCTTCTTGTTGTAATACCTATGTCATACCCATGTTATTATACAAATTTGTGTCCTCATAAAACACAATTTGGGTAGACTTTTCAGAAATGTGAAGCTGAACTTTATTATTATTATTGTTTAATTATTTTATATTTAATTATTATTATTTTAATATGTAATTATATTGAATTGTAATATTGAAAAAAAATAACACTTCATCTTTTTGCCTTCACTAATTTTTTTTACATGGCTCTGGGTGTAACTATAAAAAAATTAAAAGTACAAATATTTCTCAATTAATATGATATATTATAATATTTAATAACAGCAGTATGCATGTCAATTATAGAAAAGCAAAATCCTTTTAAAATAGTTTAACATGGAGTACGGCATATCAGGTCATGTCATTTTAATTATTTTATTTTTTTATGATTTGTATTTTAATGTTTAACCACTATTTATTTACATTTATTTATTCTTTATAATTATTATTTTTTTATATAATTTTTAATATATTTTATTAATAACACTTAATCCTTTTGCCTTCTCTAATTTATTTTACATGGTCCAGGGTGTAACTATAAAATTAAAAGTACAAATATTTCCCAATTAATATGAGGTAATAACAGCAGTATGCATATCAATTATAGAAAAACTAAATCCTTTTAAAATAGTTTTAGGTGGAAAACAGCATGTCACGCTGGAGGACATGTCAGCCTCCAAAAAGTATTTCATGTCAACACCCAATATGATGGATGTTTAAGGGCTCTCTCTTATCTTTTTGTACAAATAGCACCTTTGGGCAGCTCAGGTGCACCGACTCCTGTTTCATCGACTCAACCGGCTGTAAATACAGGACCTGAGGCCTACAAAAGTCACACATTCACACTAACACACACACACACACACACACACACAGAGATATGAGGGAGAGCCTGCTGAGATCAAAAGTATTTAACAGATGATCTGAGAGGATTTGGCTGTTTCTGTCTCCATCGCCTTCCTTCACACTCCAGACACACACACATTATAAGGTTCAACTCAGTGGGTACGGTACTATTTGTAGTACTGCTTGTTGATGCTGCTAGTATGTTTTGAATGGCAGCTGAGCTGGTGGATGAATGTTTTAGGAGTTGTGTAATGAAAAGTCATTATTATTTAAATGAATGTATAATATGTTTATATGAAACGTATTTATTTGTTTGGTATTGCAAATGCATGATTAGGTCTGTGCATGTTTCTGTATGTGTATCATGAGTTTGTTTCCAAGCGACTAAGCAGTATTTTGCTGGTATGTGCCTTGTAAAGCATGTACTGTAAAAACAGGTATTTATTGTATTTATTTATTCATTGAACCAAACTTTTATGAAAAGATAGCTAATAATTATATGCTTGATTATTTTTCACAGAAACAAGTTGTAATGTTTATTTGAGTTAAATGATGATTTATTCAGTCAGAGCAATAAATTGCAAGCATGTCCAGTGGGTGGCACTGTTTCCCAGGGTCTCACATGTGTCCTTCCTCTTGATTCAGAGCTTTAATACAGCATTTCATACTGGCACAGATTTCAAATACAGATAGATTTAAAAATGAAACTTAGAATGAGGAAAAACAAAGAGTATTTTTTCTTTGGTGTATTAGAAAGTCTTGATTTAATGAGTTAGATGAAGAGTTAGTAACAAAGGGCTCCAGCAGCCACAAGAATCAGAAACAGGACAATACGGTCTAATAAACTCACTTGTTAGTTTTAGAAATGTAACTTTGTTTACTTTTCTATTTATAGTTTCATCCATTTCAAACATTTATTCTGCTCACCTTAAGCCTAAAACACGGTTTCACTCTTAGTGGTTAACTTTCTTCCATTTTACAAAAACTGATGCCCTTTATTTGAAACAGTAACACTAATCTGTATGCACAGATTTAACACTCTTTCCTTTTGCCATATTTTGTTAAGCCATGTTTTAATCTCCATTTTTTTCTCATTTTTATTCTGTTAGTCATCTAATAATTTGCCCTTTTAATCTATTCAGGTTATGTTAAAAGCTGATAGGATAATTAATAAAAGCCTTGTCAGGTATGGTAAGCAAATTGAATAGGCATAATATATTTGTTCCAGAAACATATTAAATGTTAAAACACTTATTATTGACTGAAGAAAATGTATTAGATAGGTAAACACTTTTTATACGAATCAGGGGTTTTAATATGGCTGCATCTGTAATAGGGAAACAATTTCTTGAAATGTGGATGACCAAAAAAAAAAACTATTATTATTTTTTTTTTTACATCAAACTAGAATGTTTTCACAGATAATGCAGTTGTGATTGATAAAGTGGTGCTTGAGTGAGTTGGTTTGACCTACAGATTTGTCTGCTGTTCTTCACTGACGATGAGGATGATGCTTAAAATATGTCCTGCAAAAGGTTAGCACCAAACTTCATATTGTCCCATTTCATCTTAAATGAGTCCTCATGGCAGGAGGTTGTGGGTTGACTGTGAAAACAAAACAGGAAGAGTTAATTTTCAATAAGACAGGTAATTCCAGAATTAGTTTCAGTGTTTACTTGTTTTTAAATGAAACCAATCAACTGAGGAAATGATAAAACTATTTATTTTCAGTTTTGTATGCACAATTGTTTCATCCTGGATCTGATAATAACTGGATCCTGAAACAAACTGTTTACATTGAAACAGAGACTTGTAGACATTATACACCACCATTCAAAAGCGGTTGGTAAGATGTTTTCGGTCACTAATGTTCACCAAGTCTATATTTTTTTTAATCAAAAATACAGTAAAAACAGAAATAATGTGAAATATTATTACAATTACTATTTTTGTCTTATCCTGAATCACTATGGTATTGTAATAAGTGCTTATATTCAGATTATTTTAAACCTGTATGGACGACAACCACTGTGGCATAGCCCAGTACCTGCGTGACTTGCTTTCTATTTTAATATATATTAAATTGTAATGTTTGCTGCTCTAGACATTTTTTTTTTTTTATTATCGTTGAAAACACTATTATTGTTGAAAACACTTGCGCTGCTTAATATTTTGTGGAACCCATGATACATATTTTTTGATGAATAGGAATTTCAAAGGAACAGCATTTATCTGAAATATAAATATTTTGTAACAAATCTTTACAGTCAATTTTGATCAATTAAATGTGAGATTAATAATTTAATGTGATAATATATATATATATATGTATTTTTTTTTTGAAAAATTTAAAAATATATATATAATTATATTAATTATAAATAAACAAAATATAAATATACAAAAATTATTAAAAATTATTCTATTCATTTCTTTAAAAATATATATATTTTTCAGTTCATCATTGTGTGAGCATCATAATACTATATACTTAAAAAGCTGTTAATATGCAGATTTTTTGCTTTCAAATCAAACACTATGATATATTGATACTAAATATGTTCAGGAATTGTTATGAAAACTTCTCTCATCCTATTTTCACCTGCTTTTTTGCCACTAATTTTAGGCTACTTTATATATGTAGTTGTGTATAAAGCAAAGGCAATATTACAATTGTATAAATATTTTTAAAAATAAATAAATAAAACAAATAAGATCATCTGCCTCAAGCCTGTCTAAATGAACAGAGGCAACATTGTGAGCACTGTCATTGAACAGAAACTTCACCTTTCCTCACATACACTCTCACATACAAAGAGGTTGTTGTACCTCTGTTCTCCTTGCTGGGGTAGGTACGTGGGAAGGGCCTGAACTCTTCAGGAGGGGGGAAGTCCTCAATAGGATGGAAGTGAAACTTCGATTCAAAGTCATCTGGAAAGCAGACAAAGAAAGGAAAAAAAATGCTATGTTAAATTAAAGAGTTTGCATATGCGCAATCACAAACATACAAATATACATGCAGAAAATCATATTGTCACAGTAGTTCATTTCTAGTGTAACTGCTTGTTGCTGTTCATCAGATGGTAATTATAGCCCATTTAGACCTTTAGCTTCATCGTCAATGATCATCATCACCTGCAGTCTCACCTAAGCTGTGCAGGTGTCCGTTGCGTACTGAGCTGGGCGGAGCTGACAGTGGGAGAGGAGGAGGGGGTGGGATCCTACTGGAGAGTTCAGTGTTAGGAGACCGAGCAGGGGGAGCAGGGGGTGGAGCCATCCGTGGAGCACCTGTCAATCCAAAAATCTTAATAAATGACTGATTAGTTCATCTCAGTTACGTTTTCATTTTAGTTTTTCTTCTAATATTTATACATAATATTTCCAAACACACTACCATTCAAAAGTGTTTAATAACACTTATAAAGTCCCATTAGTTAATATTAACTAAGATTAATCAATGCTTTTGAAGTATTTTTCAATGTTAGTTAATTTTAACTGATGTAGTTAACTCATGTTAGCAGATGGAATCTTGCATTATTGTATAGTAATTGCACTTTTTAAAAAATTATTCAGCAAGGATGCATTAAATTGATCAGAAGTGACAGTAAAGACATTTATAATGTTACAAATATTTCTATTTAAGTAAATGCTGTTCTTTTAAACTTTCTATTCATCAGTGAATCCTTATTAAAAGAACACATTTCCACATAAATATTAAGCAGCACAACTGTCTTCAACATTAATAATAATATTTCTTGCAGCAGCAAATCAGCATATTAGAATGATTTCTGAAGGATCATGTGATACTGAAGACTGCAGTAATGGGTGCTGAAAAATCAGCTTTGCCATCATAGGAATATTTTAATATATAATACATATATAACTAAGGTCATTAGGTCATTAACCTGCAAAACGTGGCACTGCAGGAGGTCGTCTACTGGGGGCGGTACAGGGGTAAGACGGTGGCAAAAGTGGTACGCTGGGCCTGTATGTGGGTGAAGGCATGGGAGGTACTTTCTGAGGTAGCGGAGGCGGTGCTGAGGAGAGGTGACTGCATGCAAACGAAGCAGGAAGAGGAGGAGGAGGTGGGGGAGGAGGCCCTAAAGAACTGTCCTTCATTTCTAATGGCCCCGGAGAAGGGGGCGGAGGGAAGAAGACTCCAGATGATCTGTTAGAGAGTGAGGACGGAGGTGGTGGAGGGTAGAAGACCCCAAATGACCTATCAGGGAGAGAGGATGGAGGGACTGATGGAGGAGGTGGAGGGGGTGGAGGGTAGAAGACCCCAGACGATCTGTCAGGGAGCGAGGACAGAGGGAATGATGGAGGCGGTGGAGGGGGCGGAGGGTAGAAGACCCCAGACGATCTGTCAGGAAGTGAGAACGCAGGAACCGAGGGAGGCAGTGGAGGAGGCGGAGACGTAGGCATGGGAATGGAGTGTGATTGGACGGGTAACCAAGTGGGTTTTGCCATTTGAGGAGGAGGGGGTGGGGGAAGGCAGGTGGGGAGAGGAGGTGGTCTATTACTGGGCCGCTCCTGAGGAGGAGGTGGAGGGGCAGAAGAAGGAGGAGTAGAAGACAGTTTGAAAGAAGGATGTGTAGTTTGGCTTGGGGAGGGAGGGGCTGTGTATGAGGAAATAGGCCGAGTTTTTGACAGTGAGGAGGCTCTTTCCAAAGGTTTGTGGGAGGGGGAAAGATCAGGGGCGCTTCCTCTGAACCCGTCTTCCTGTGATGGAGGGTTCCAGAGAGGCTGCTTCAGGCTGGCGGTAGAGCCGGAGCGAGACACTGAAACACAAACAAGCCATTTCAAAAAGTCATTCAAAATTTGTCCAGCACTGAAAAAGTACAAAGCATGAGAATAAACAGGTCTGACTTCAATACCCGGGTTGTGATGTGGCTGCTTGTCTCTTTGTCCCACTGGTTTGAGTACAGGAAATCCCCCAGCAAATAGTCCACCCAGAGTTGGACCCACTGCAGATGGAGCAGATCCTGCTGTGTTTGTAGAGTTTCCAGCAGCCACATTTCTTCCACTGTCATCCACACTGTTCACTTTAGGTTCTGCAAATACATACATTATCATTATGCTTACTGTGATTTCACCAAGTAGATCATGCTCCTGGATCACACTGCAATACACCATTCAGATTCTAGGGTTAGATTTAGTCTTAAAAGGGTCCTATTATGCTCTTTTACAAAGTCTTGATTTTGTTTTGGGTGTGTACTAGAACAGGCTCTCATACTAGGTTTGTCGAAAAACACATTATTTTTCACATATTTTACATTATTACAACACCTCTCTCCCCAGTCTGGCATGAACGGCTTGAATAGTTCCTGTATTAAATGAAGGCCCGCCTTCTGAAATACAAAATATGCTGTGATTGGTTAGCTGGGCCAGTGTGTGTTGTGATTGGCACCACTCGGCGCCTGGTCGGGAAATGTCAGGCCTCTTACCATAACCAGCTGCGAGCTTCAGTGTAAATATTGCGTCAATGTCAAATCAATTTGAGCGCGATTTAAACCCGGATGATGGTAACCACTCTAAGTTCATCTGCCTTGGGAAAGCTAGCGTGTCTCCGACATAGTGATAACACTCGTTGCCTTTTCTAGACCAGGTCTCGTCCCATTCGTCGGTATTTGTGATATCACAAATCCCGG